ATCTCTCTATCTCTCTATCTCTCTATCTCTCTATCTCTCTATCTCTCTCTTTCTCTCTCTCTCTCTCTATCTCTCTATCTCTCTATCTCTCTGTTTCTCGCTCTCTCATCAACCATTAACAGGAGCAGCTGCAGCAAACAATTGATATAGATTGACTCTCTGGCTGCGTTCTAGTTTATGACTAGCTCATATATCGTGAAGCTCTTTCTAAACTGCATTTCTCGCGTCTGAAGGCGCACACACAATGGTGTAAATCCAAACTAAATTTCTTATGACCTCATCGGGCAAAGCAATCGTTGCTCTTAGTTAAGCGCGTTATCTTCGTTCTAAACAAGAATGAAATAAAACAAGACATTAAAGCGCAGAATAACCTTTCGAGGCAACTGCGTCATCGCCGATTGTATTGTGATGTATGCATTCAGGGAAGCAGTGATCCCAGCAGCTTGACGTAGGCAGCGGTTGACGTAGGCAGTGGTTGACGTAGGCAGTGGTTGACGTAGGCAGTGGTTGACGTAGGCAGTGGTTGACGTAGGCAGTGCTTGATTCTGTTGAGCTCCTTCTAGAAATCTCGATACTTGTGACGCCAGGGGGCGCACAGTGCAACTTGCTGCTCGTATACAACCCGCTTGCATTTCGTTTCACTTTAGAGTAATAATCCTAGAAATGGAAATGTGCGGGAATGCCTGAAAGCACTTTTCCGTGGAATTGCAGCAGCTGAAACAAACGCTGCATCAAGGTTTACTTTTTTGGGGTTTTAAGTGTTTTTACTCCCTTCATGGAGTGGAGAAATAAGCATTTCCAATTATGAATTGATTTGTCTTATTGCTGTTATCGTTTGCATTGCGCGTCCCCGCGCGCGTGCGTGCGTGTGTGTGACGTGCGTGCGTGTGTGTGACGTGCGTGCGTGCGTGCGTGCGTGCGTGCGTGCGTGCGTGCGTGCGTGCGTGTGTAAACTAGTTGAACTGTTATATAAGTTGCACAAGTAATTGTGCACACGTGCGCGAATTGTTCTCAAGTGATCGTTCCATCTTCAGGTTCTAGCGACAGACATGTCTAAGCACATGAGCTTACTAGCAGATCTGAAGACGATGGTGGAAACAAAGAAAGTGGCCGGCTCTGGTGTGCTTTTGCTGGACAATTACACAGATAGGATACAGGTAGAGATATTAGCATCCTATATTATATATCAAGCAGCTACATAAATTCTACATTAAGAGTTTAAATAGCAGTGTGTAAATTTTAATGTAAGGATAAGGGTGCCAATGAATTGTTTACATCTATTTGTTGCCCAATATGATCAATATGCCTTGCGGGATATGGCAATATCGTGGCCTTAAACGAAGTCAGTGAGATTTTAGTTAGTGAACTGCGAATGTAAATATACCTGTGTGAATATACCCTAATATTTTCTATTGACGTCGGCATTTAAATACATATAATGTTTATTTACTTGCAAGTAATTTTTTGTTATTATACTATAATGATCAGCATCGAATATTCATTTCCCTCAACGCTGTCCGTTGGCTCTAGGCCTAGTATTACACATATTACTGGACAGAAAAAAATCTTGGTATTGACAAACATAAATACAATTAGCTCTCATGATAACAGCATCAACCTTGCTAGAGCAACCTTGCTACATCCTGTTGCATTCACATCCCAGCCAACGCTACAAACGTCCGGCGGCAAGTAATAGGAGCCAGCAACGACTTCCACCCATTTCTAAGCGAGACTCGTCTTGCATTCTATGTATAGGTACTACAGAACATGGTACATTGTGCCGACCTCAGCAATCCAACAAAGTCGACGTCCGTCTATCACGCGTGGACCGACCGTATCATGGAGGAGTTTCATCAGCAGGGTGACAAAGAGAGAGACCTTGGTCTCGATCTGTCGCCGATGTGCGACAGGCATAGCGCGACGGTCGAAAAAACGCAGGTGCGTCAGTTGTTCGTTAATTCACTGTAGATCTTCTGCTCCGGGGGTCAGCAACCAGATTAGTCTTAACATTAGTCGTAACATGAACTGTTTCTCATAGACTGTTGATAGAAACATGGTAAAGTTACGAGTTTTTTATGCTCAGTGTATAGAGGGTCCGGTCTATGAAGAAAAGACAATGTTAAGATTTATTTTAAGATTAATTTTGTTTCTGACAAAAGACTCCCGATTTTTTACCGGGTAACACTCTGTGATCACTACAGTGTTGATGTTTCTCACACATCCTTCTGCAAATATATATTTTGGTATGCTAAAATATACATATAGTCTGATACTCTAAATCAATAAAGGACAGTATAATATCGTCTGACAATTCCTAGTTTTGTCTGTATCTGCTGTTTCCGATAAATGGTATCTAATCTGATGTTATTGTTTTATTCTGGTGTGTATTGCAAAGCTACCGCGTTCTCGGATATGTACCGTAAACAACCATTCTGCCAGTGAATCGTACCTTGTCCACAAATAACACGCGTAACTTGCGATTACAGGTTGGTTTTATTGACTTCATAGTCCATCCACTCTGGGAGACATGGGCAGACCTAGTACACCCCGATGCACAGGATATCCTAGACACTCTAGAGGAAAATAGAGGTACATATATCCCTGTGTGACCAAATCTCTCTGTAGCAGTAATACGTCCATAACGATCGTTCACCGCTATGTTACTCTGCTAGTGATCATATATCACAGATAAGGATGCTTGCCTCATCGTAGCTCGTTAGTCACGTCAAATCGCATCCATCCATCGTGTGAATAATGAAAGTAGTATGAATGATTAATCAGTAAGCGTAGCTATTAGAAATCATTAATATCATCTCACAGTGCAGCCCTATGTAACGCACGTTGGCGGGCCTCGCTCCCCTAGCTCTAGTAATACAGCCCACGTTACTACAGACCTGTGAACGTTGATAGCTATTAGCTTAGCACTACACTACTATACTTGCTTCACACGTTACTAGCAATAATACTAAAGCTACGATATAACCCCTTCTCTACATGACCTGTACAGGTATAGTGTAGTACAACTGCAACAAGGCTTTCTCGTTGTCATTGAAATTTACGTATTTCTGCAGATTGGTACCAGAGTCAGATTCCGCAGAGTCCTTCTTCATCGTCGGGAAGTGTGTCTACCTGTGAGCCTGTAGTGGAAACAGGAGGCGGATGCGGAGGAGGAGGAGGAGGAGGCGGGGGAGGAGGAGGAGGAGGAGGAGGAGGTGGGGGAAGGGGGAACTTCAGGTTCGATGCGCCACTCCAGGAGGAAGCAGAATCAGCGGAGGAACAAGAAGAAAGCAGGTAGGCGCGTGTGTGTGTACGGTCCTTCCTTCCCCTGCTGGCCTGGCAGCGATATGCTGGGTACATATCTTACATGCATGTGTATAAAATCATGTTGTAAATTTCATCAGAGGGTATGTAGGAAACTAAAAGTTCGCCCTTGAGTAATTTACCAGACAAGATCGTACTTTTACGTGTATTACATCCACTATTTAGATATTGGGAGAACTCAGCCGCCCATAAATCTAATTACCAGCATTCGACCAATATAGCTGAAAATGACAAGCTTATGAATGCGAAAAAAACTCATTTACCACGTGACGCACAAATTATAAATAACTATAATATTTGTTTTTTTTTCTCTCTTTTTTACAGCTAGCATGTTGTTGTTGTGATTGTGACAGCAATGGCAGCTAGATTGTTCGAGACATTTCACTAATCACGAACACGCATCTGTAGATATAGAACGAAGAGACTGCGGTAAAGGATAGGGAGGAGCACATAGCACTGACTGACATTACACTGACTGCCATCTAGCGGCGACACGAATCAAGATTATATTTCTTTACACGCGCCCTTCATTGTTTTGGTCACAGAAATCGTGCACGTTCACACACACATATAATATATATATATGTGTGTGTGTGTGTGTGTGTGTGTGTGTGTGTGTTGTGGGCGATGACTGGTTACTGCGGTCAGGGGTGACTGTGTGAGTTGGCGTTAAGCGAGATACTCTCCTAGAGAAGGGTTCTGAAGGCGTTAAGCCAACCGCATTGCGAATGTCTATCGTGTCTGATGGAGGTATCCCTTCATATTTGTATATTGAACTATAATGTGAATACCTGTCGATGTTTCCGTGTGACCCGACAGACTTCCGGTTTGTAAAAATGAATCTCCGAATCTTGATCCGCTGTAAAAATAATTTATGCACGGCTTTTGGCGAATTCCGTAGTTTGAAAGGTATGATTTCGTTTTTTCTTGCTTACGTTCTAGTAAATAGGCGTAGAGTAGGCCGTGCATACGGTGCGGACTGTTATGTATGAATGCTAATAAAATACCTTCATTTGCTTATTCGTATTGTTTTCATGAATTACTCGTGAAAATCTTGCAGTGACGCGTTTCAAACAAGAAATTTACAAATTGGCTAGGACACGGTTTAAAACTGCGCGCATGCATAAAGAGAGCTAAGTTTGTTCGCAAAAAATATCGTGCGTTATTAACTCTTTCTCTCGCGTCACACGTGAACGTTGACAGGTGTGTTAAGGAGGAATCAGGTGTAATTGTATCTAACTGATGCTTTCATCGACTCGTCATCGTGTCATTAGCAACCGCCGATCGTAAAGCCAGGATTCTTAAAATAATTTCCGAGCGGTTTCGTGTTTCCTCCTACTGTTGACGATACTTACTGTTATTGCTTGAGTAAGAGCAACTATCTACAGTCAAGATGCTGATAGTATATATATATATATATATATATATATATATATCCTTCTCCATGTATTATCATGATATTATGCTGATGCAAATTGTTTTCTATAGTTTATTTTGTCAACATGCGTTGGCAGCAGCAGAGTGGTAGTATGGTATGTAAGCAAAGGGAAGAATTAAAACTGTTTCTTTATAATTGAAATATTACATGACAACCATGTATGACACCTTACACCTTCGTGAGTTATTATAAATTTAAAATACATAGTACAGGAGACATTTACTACATGACACACTGTGTTGTTCATATTGTGAATAATATATAGGTATTATGGGAGCTAACAAGAGCTTATAACTTGTTTCCCCCATATTGAGTTGCATATTTAAAGTTACATGGTCATCATGTAATTGTTCAGGGTTTCTGTGAAACTCTGAGTGAAACTGAGTCAACGAAATAGCCCTCATTGACCATCTAGAATCTTTAGCAATTCATTGTGGATATTCTATAACTTAGAACGGCTAACGTTAACGCATCATGAGTTACATTTAATTTTAGTTTCATGCTTGATTAAGTTAGATTTATTCTAATTTTAATGAGTGAATCCATGAACTCGTTGAGCATGATTTAGGTAAACCTGATAAATGTCAAGGTTTGCTTTAACTTGATTTTCCTAATAGGGCTGAGGGCTACTAATGATATCACTATACTCGAGATATATCACTAACGATATGAGATTCTCCTATACGCAGGTGTACCTACATAATACATAGCAACACCCAGGGGTACACGTATACCGTAAAGCAAAATACATGAACCCACGTACGTGCGCGCATGCGCACACACACCTAAATCCGCGAAACAATACAATAATTGTTGATCGTTTTCGTGTTGGGAATTTTTCACTGTATGTATGTAAACATGCTGATGGTTGCGAATTTACTTACGTAATCGTGATGGCTTCTTTGTTTATCCACCTCGTACATATGCCTACACACTAGCACTCATTTTCCCTACATAGAAAACACCTAACATAAACATTTCCCCTACATAGAAAACACCAATATTTAATTATGAAAAGAACGAGAGAGTCGGGTCTTAGTACGTTGTACTAGCATTGATATTTTGGCTCGCAGCAACGCATAAAGCTAATAATATGTGACAAATTTGACATTTCCAAAGTGTCGCATTGCATTTCCAACGCGTTTGGCAAGCTGGGATAGCCATGCACGAAGCACGTGTAGATGAGTGCAAAGCATAAACTATAGAGAGGGTGCTGTGGATGGGTAGACAGATGTGTTTTAGGGCTTATGCAGAGAAAATATATACGCTGGACTGACTTGACTAGTACGATACGCATACTACCGTTGTACACAACCATTTTCTAGTTAGTTGATCGTTCTGCATTTTCGCAGACTTTTGTTAATCTCAATACATCTTCCTGTCTTCGATAAGGGGCCGGCTCGGCCTGCCTTTCACCTCGTGTTGCATTTTTCTCCCATCGTCACTTACCTCTTCTTCCGTTAGATGCTGTCGCCTATCAGCATCCCTTGACTGTAGTAGCTTGCTCGTTACTACACAGCAATAACAGCTAAGGTATCTGTCAACAGATAGGCAGGAAACACGAAACCGCTCGGGAAATTATTTTAGAATGTCTGCCGCTTTTACGATTCGGCGCTTTGCCGCTAATGACACGATGAACGAGTTCGCATGAAAGCATCAGTAGTATACAATAACACCTCGATTCTCCTCCC